CCTGCATGGGACTTGACTGGGGAAAATAAAGCTATTTCCAGTCTCATATAGAGTAGCCCAAATACTTTGAGTTTTTGTTAACCCAAATACCTTGGGTTTTCAGCCCGGGGCCGGCTGTCCGCACCTCTGGGAGCAGTGCTGCTTGGATTACTTGGTGAATCTTGTGCTGCTGTCTTCTCTTCCAGTCGGGGGCAGTGAATCTCTGCGTTCATACTGGAAGATGTACCTGCCCAAAGTGCTGTTGCTAATCTATGTCGTGGACTCGGCCGATCATGCCCGACTGCCTGTGGCGAAACAGCTGCTTCATCAACTGATCCAGAACAACTCCACCCTGCCGGTGGTGGTTCTGGCCAACAAGCAGGTAAGAGTTCCCTGCTGCTGGCTGAGCTTGGGCTGGCAGCAGCTCTGAAAACAGCAACAAAGGCTTTCAAAGGAGGCTTCGTGCCTTTAAGGGGGCCACATGGCTGGGAGCTGGGGGTCTTTCTGGGACACCTTCTGACCACAAAAGAAAATAATCTGAGGTTGAGTTTTGGATCTGCAAGATGCAGGTCCTGTGCTCGGAGATGGTGCAGTCAGAGCTGTGGGTGGAAATAATGGTGGAAACCGCTGTAGAGTTGCAAGGTTTGAGAACTGCAAGGGAGACCACAGTTAGACCTGGAGTTAGGTTTCTGTTCTGAATGTCTGTCTAGAAGTACCGCTTTACCTAGCAGCAGCTGAAAGGTGAAGCGCCGTTGCTTGCCTTCACATTGTCCAGTTGGTTGCTCCCAAGGCTGCTGCTGAAGCTTGAGAGAAGAGCAGCTTTCCTCACAAGGCAGTGTTTTCTCCTAAGATCTTTGTGAAAGTGTCAATGACCGGTGCTGTACCTGGAATATGGTCAGATGACGGAACAGCCCAGGGTTTTTAAGCCCAGATTTTCTTTTATGAGGGCTGTGTGCTCGGTTTGCTCTGCGTTGTTACCTCCTAAATTTCTAGTAACTTAGGCATGCGACTAGTAGTCCTTTGTGTTACTCTTGAACGCAAGCGCAGGCTTTGGCTTCATCAAACACAAATGCTACCGCTGATTCTCTAGGTCCCGGAGTCAGAAACACTGGTGGCTGAGAAGGTACGCAGGGAATGACTGTTGTACGTTTGCCCTGTTCTGTTAACTCTGTGATGGGCGCCTGGGGTCTTGGGCCAGCAAGACGCTTGTCTGCCTTGCACAGGTAGTCTTACGTTATTATCAGAAACACTGGAATTACTAGAAACAGAGCTGTACCCTTATTTTTTGGGAAGAAATTAGGTTAAGGGTAAACATTTTTTTCCCCAAAGCATTTTAGGGCATGGGAACTTGATCTCATAGAAGGTAGGTAAGAATGGTGGCCCCAGGGCCCTTGAGGCCCTTCCCCTCCCTGGGCAAAGGCAGCGGCTCCAAGCAGGAACGGTGCCGCCACCTCATGCAACTAACAGGCTTGTTTTGTTTTTGCGTATCAGGACCTCGAAGGTGCTTATTGCATCACCGATATCCACGATGCTCTGGCACTGTCTGATATTGGGGACAAGAGGAAGATGTTCTTGATTGGTACCCACGTGGCAGAGGATGGCTCCGAGATCTCCTCCAGCATGAAGGATGCCAAGGAGCTGATAGCGCAGCTGGTTTTGGAAACACAGTGACAGCCCTTTTCCTACAACGTGATATTTGCAGCTGAGGGAGACGAGGTGTTAGCGTATGGTCAGTTTGCTGCGTGGCGACTGAAATGTACAGCTATCTTTTCCTTGTGGGTGTGGAATTCCTATGAAAATGATGTCTAGTTGGTAAGAAAATCTAATTTGTAGTGGTTTGAAGATACATTTGAAAAGTAGTGTATTTTTTAGTGTTTTTGTAGGGGAAAATTAGTCTCTCAGATAGCAGAGTTAAGGGGATATATAGCTTAGATGGGCTGAGATGGCTTCTTGCCAGGTGGGAGTCAAGCATTGACTTCAGTAGAACAAAGTTGTATCCAGTGAATTTAACCCAGCTTGATGTCTCAGGCTTAAATTGAAACGTGTTTGCTTCACAGGTTGTGCAGAACGCTGTTAACAGTGGTGTTCTGTTAAAAACGAGGCCTCGCTTCTTGAGAGCGTCAGAAATACAAAGGGCTGCGACCAGTATTTTTGACAGCGGCGATTTTTGTTGTATTGGAGCCGGCTTTTAAGGGAGTGGCAAATAAGTAATCTCTGGAAATTGGGTTGGTTACTGCTTCTTTAGTGGGTAAGAACAAGAAAACACAAGCGATAAGACATTGTTTCTTTGCCTACAGGGGAAAAACAGAACAGTGTAATTTAAGATAGTGACTGAAACCATTTAAGTTAAACTGGCACCAGAGGTGGGAGACTCCTCCATCGGGCTGAGGGGCTTATTGTGGTTTAGTCCAGGCCGTCCTCGAGCAAGCACTCTGACATGTGAAAAACTTGGTTTTTGAAAGTGATTTCTGTTGGCGCAGCGGGTGAGGAAGGTGAGCTGCTGACGAGCGTCACCCTCCCAGTGTCCTCGTCGTTGCACTCCAAGAGCGCGATCTGGGATCCGGGCGGTTCTGTAAAGGACCCATTCTGCAACCGCATTTATTGTATGAGGGTTTTACGGTTTTGTGCTTTGGAACGGATGCATAAAGCAGACGATTTTACCCTAATCAGTGGTCCGGGCTTCATTTACCGGAGCAAGGAGCGCTGCAGGAGACCCTCGGGGCCTTTCTCGGACAGCCGCCTTTG